GTGGTCAGCCTTTAGAGCATCCTTGAACAAGGATTTCAAAACTAGCCATAGCCTTCCGGGCTTGTGGATCACAGTGCGCTCCAAAATCTTGGAAATTTTGGGGATCGCGGACCCCAATAACCCATACACTAGCCTTTCCACGTCAAGCCAACAATGCCTTACTTGGCTGGCGTTGTGCTTTCAGCACTCGCCTGTTCAGCCCTTGGCGCGGCCACACCAGCTGCAAGCTCTGGCTGCCGCGGATGCGTGTGCCGAAGACGACTTGGTAGGGATCGGGGGCTGGGCAATCACATCCTCCCAAGTGGTTTGGTTTGCCGAGACCTGGAACATGCAGGACATACGAGCCGTGTGGCCTTGCCTTGTCAAGCCTGGACAGCGGTACATCGCATGCTTCGAGACGCTGGCACAGTTAGCACTACTGCAAGCAACCCACAGCCACATTGGTGGTGGGCACTACTCGTTTAGCATGCCTTCAGGCACAGACAATTCCGCCACGGAAGCAAGCCTTAACAAGTTGTTCACGACCTCCTGGCCGTTGCAACTCTTCGTGCAATTAACAGCCTTCTGGGCTCACGCTCACAATGTGCTGCTGCAGCCGACGCACGTTCCAGGAAGGTGCAATGATTGGGCAGACGATCTCAGCAGAGGTCGGTTGGCCCGATTCCGCCATCGCCCTGAAAGTCGCATACGCTTCAGCCCTGCGGGCCTAGCAATGTCAGGCCGAGGCATTCAGCTGTGTCCGATGCATGCGCCCTGGCGCCCGGAGCATCTGGCAGCTGCCTCCGTCACTGCTTAGCCAGCCTTATTTGCATCCCGACCTGCCTTGCGACCTGTCAGCCAGAACAATTGGCGGCGTCAGCCAGCCGCTTATATCAAGCCGCTCTGACCGGAAAAAGTGCAGACCCTGAGTAACAGGCTGCTCACAGCCCAGCGTGCATGGCCACGCAAACATTTGCCCTGCCAGGTACCACCCCACTCTGAAGGGCGGGTGATGAGGCCTGCGGCCCAGCGGGCTCGCTTATACCGGGGTTGCCTGAAACACTGAAGGGGGGGTCGCGCCTCCTGTTCCAGGCGCACCAGTGCCCTGGAAGCAGTGCTACTTTCAGCAATCCCGGTAAAAAGAACTGCGGCCGCTTCGGACTTGCTTGGGGGTTCATGCTTGGGTTCAAGCTAGGAGCAGTGCAACATGCCTTAACGCTTAGGGTTTCTTTTCCCTTGTGTTTAGGGCATGTTGTGAATCGAACTACGCGTTGGCCGTTTTGCTCCTAGCCTTGACCCAAACCTGCGGTTTCTTTTGAAACCCACCCACCCACCCTGCACTGCCTTATACAAGGCTCTGCAAGTATAGGTAGCAGACGCTCTGCACTTTCATTGGTGGTCTCCGGGCCTCTTGGTCTCCAGACCAGGTCTCCGGACCAACTCTGGTCTCCGGACCTCGGGTCTCCGGACCTTTCGGTCTCCGGACCTTGGGGCGTGGGCACGCATGCCGCGCCCCGCAAGCACTGCATTTGTATGCAAGGACACGCATTGTCTTGCCTTTTCAAATTTCAGGGGGGTGAACGCGCCTCCTGTTCCAGGTGCACCAGTGCCCTGGAAGCAGTGCTACTTTCAGGGGTCAACGCGCCTCCTGTTCCAGGCGCACCAGTGCCCTGAAAGCAGTGCTACTTTCAGCAATCCCGGTAAAAAGAACTGCGGCCGCTTCGGACTTGCTTTGTTCTTTTGGGGGTTCATGTTTGGGTTCAAGCTAGGAGCAGTGCAACATGCCTTAACAAACAGTTTTCAATTTCCTTGGATTCACTGGACGACGCGTACATTGCGCTTTATCGACCGGGCGGTGGGCACGAGATTTACCAGGGCGTGGTTCTCCCGTTCGGCTCAGTTGCAAGCGTCAACAACTTTGTTAGGTGCGCATTTGCAGCGTGGTCAATCGGGGTCAGGGCTCTGAAGCTCCCGTGGTGTGTTTACTTTGACGACTACGTTTGCTTTGCTTGGGAATCTGTTGCCAATCACACTGCAATGATTGTGCGCGCCTTGTTTTCATTCATTGGGTTTCAAACTGCAGATGACAAGGACTGTGACTTCAGCGCAGTGTGCGTTGTATTGGGTCTGGAAGTCAGTATTGGGCCGTGGGGCCGCGCCATTGTCAAGGTTAGCAACACGGAGGACCGAACGAGCAAACTGCCCGCGGCTACTGATCAGGTTCTCACGGAGGGGAAGATCAAGCCGGCCCACTGGGAAACCCTTAAGGGCCGTTTGCAATTTGCAGACGCAGATTTGGGGCCGTGGGGCAGCAGTTGCAATGAAGACCTTGCGCCGTCATTTGGATGGTGCCCGCCGGGTCTTTGAAGCAAATGAGGCCGTTAGGGCTGCGCTCAAGTGGGTTCGTGACAGAATCCTTCTGTCTCCACCCAGGCGCATCGCGGCGAGGGAGCTGCCGGTCAGGCACATTTATGTGGACGCTTGCTATGAATCTTCAAGCGACCTTAAAGCAGGCCTCGGTGGAATTTTGATGGAAGGAGAAAAGTGCCTGTCAGTCTTTTCTTATTTCATGACCAACACCCAGTTGCAGCGCGTTGCCAACGTGGGCAGCAAGAACCCCATTTACGAGTTCGAGGCCTTTGCCGTTGCAGTCGCACTTTCTTTGTGGCATAAAAAGCTTTGTGGATTCGCTCCTGTTATCTTCACTGACAACAATGCCGCCCTTGGCTCCTTCATCTCAAACAAGGCCTCCTTGGCTGGCGCGGAGAAGATTTTGCAGTTTGTGTACAATGTTGAAGTTGCGATTGGCTCGCTGATTTGGTTTGAGAGAGTCTGTTCTTTCTCAAATCCAGCAGATGCCCCGTCTAGGGGGGAGGTGCCGGAACAGATGAAAATGCTCAACGTGCAAGTCGATATCGATGCGGTGTTGGAAGAATGCTCGTTGTGAGCGTCTGTGTACTTGGGGTAAGTGGGCGACGCCGCAAGACGGCATGTGCGTCTTGATTGTGCGGCATGGAAAGCATTGAATGCTGAACTGTTTTACAGCTTTGAAAGCTGTCTCGCTTTCACCCCATGCCTGCAAAAAGAGTCCGCACCAGCGTATCGAGTTGAGCCGTTCCTGAAAACTGGTTTGATTTACCTTTCAGGTCCCCTCCCTGCCGTTTGGTGTTCCCCCTCCTTTGTCCTAAGGAGCCAAACTTTTAAGGCCCGTTCGTAGTTTCGGTGGGGTGGGTGTGCTTTGGCTCAAAGGATAAGACTTGTTTACCCCTATTGTCCACTTGCCGGAATCACAGGGGATGAGCTAGGCTTGAATATTCACGATCATGCACGTTTCAGGCATGGGTTGAGTGGAACGGATGTGGACCAATGCTCACGGAATTGGAGGCCACAGGGGCAAAACAACTCAGCGCGCCAAATTCAAAAAACAAAGCCACTCAGCATGCCAATTCCACATTTGCCTTGCTGTGGGGTGTGTGGTTTGCCATGATCGTGTTGCGTTTGGCCATGCATTTCCGTAGCATGACATGTGATCTTTTGCAGTTCCATTTGCCGAACGCCTGCTGGACATGATGTATATGTGATTCCCCCCCAGGTGCTCACGCGCTTTCAAGCAACACAATAGATAGTACAAGTCTCAAAAGTACATGTTGTTTCACTTCAGGGAGTCTTTCTGTTTAACTTGGAAGCAACGCCGTTTGGAACCATGAAACGAAAGAATAAAATAAAACTTTCAAAGTGCTTTTGTACCGCGGAAAAGTAAAGCGGTACACTCCCAACAATAAAACATGTTTTACTTGAGACATTTTGTTTTCACTGTTAAAGAGAAAACAACTACGCCATCTTGTTTTTGAAATTTGATCCAGTTTTATTTTTATTGTTCATGGGTTCACGCGTTTCGCCTTTACCTGTCTACTTAAACAATACAAGTAACAAATACAAACATGCAATTCAAACTTAATGTTTACTTTCATGGGTCCAACCGCTTTACTTTTGGCTTGAATACTTTTACTGGGAGCACAAACTGCCTGAAACATTTTTTTTTTTTAAAGTTTTGCATGTTTAGGTTCGGCAGGGAACGTAAAAACGGACAACTCCTTCAAAACAAACAATAATTTACTTTTGTTTGTTTTACAGTTTTTGTTTCTCGGGACTCGGGACTATACGTTTACTTGTTCACTTGTTTACTTTTCCCACAAGTAGCAAACACCTCAAACTTATCTGCAGAAGAGTCAAATTGTAAACCCCCAAGAATATACATTGTTTTACTTCAGGACGTTTTATATACATTTTTTTTCGCCCAGTACAAGTCTACCGGTGAAGGTCCAGAGAGTAACAGGTTTTTTCTTCAGGTAGTTTTTGCTTTTGTTTTCCCCCCCGTACAAGTAAAACCGTTGAACTCGCAAGAGCAAACTTACTTGACTTCAGCCAGCTTTACTGTTTGCTGTTCATGGATCCAACAGTTGTGTTTTGTTTTTTTTTTGGTACTTTTAGTTGGGACAACCAAGAAATAAAAACTGACTGATGTAAACACCGTTTGAGTTTTGGGAGAGGATTTTGGTTGGCCTTTTCGTGCCTTAGCATCAAAGACTCCCTGAAGTGAAACAACACTTGCTTTTGAGAGTTTTACATTTCCTTGAAACAGACAACTAGTCAATTTTGCATGGTTTTTGAATGTTTCCGAACAAGTTCCGTGCAGGGATTCTGCACTTTGTGGTGTGCATACATGAAACTTTCGGTTTTTGGAGGGGGACTTCTAGATGGACCTCCATTGCGGAGACGCGGCATTTGCATTCAGAGGTCCGAACGTTGCAAACACTCGAGCAATGAAAGTGAGGTGCAGAGAAATCTTTGCACAATCTCATTTTTGGAACGTGCCGCATTTCCCCCAGCTGTGCAACTGTGACGGCTGAAGAACAAGCCTGGGTTGTTGCAGCACTATTTCGGAATCCGAAACCAAAGACAAGTTGATTAAGAGCAAAAAATGTTGTAAACCCGACACTTCACCATTTCGCAATTGTCCCCTTGCAGATCCGATGATTGCGCAAAACGAGCCGCCACCATGGCTGGACGATTTGCGGCATATCAAGGACAACACTGCATACTGCTGGCAGGAAGCACTGCACTTCTTGCGACATTGAACAAACTAGTTTCTTATTGCAAGGATGAATTATAAGCAGTCATGCAAGCAAGGCTTGTTCTTGAATCGGACAAGCAGTCTCTTTGCGGTCTTTTTTCGGATTGATTCATTGGACATTTGCACGGAACCAAACTATGCTGCACATGCTTGGCAGCTAGCCCCTGAGGAACATTATGTGGACATGTTCCACAGCATGGACATCCTCAACGTGTTGCCAGACCAGAAGGCAGCAGTATTCCGCGTGGTGTCCAGGCGGGGACGCTGCAGCATGATGTTGATTTTTGCTTCAATTCAATCTTCAGTTTAGGGTTTGGGATGCCCAAGCAGTTTTGGCTAGGCTGCCAAGTCGGCGCGAATTGGAGGCAGAGCGATGGAGTGATTTGCAAAAGGAAACAACGTGGCAGCCCCGTTTGCTAGGTCTTGCTCAACGACAGCTGCTTCGAAGTCCAGTCTGATTCACAGGACCTACCTTGCCGTGAATGTTTCCTTGAACGGCATAATGGCGCTGCTTTGACAGGCAAGTCTGGTTGGCTCAAAGTGGGACTCTTAAGATACAGTTGACTGTATGCACTGATGCCTTGTGCATCATTCAACTGTGGCACCAAACAATTACCGTGCATGTGTGTCGGTGCTACTGCTTTGGAGACATGAAAGCCGCCTTTCCTTAGGCTTGAGTCCTTTGAGCAGCTTCTGAGTGCCATGGACGGAGCCGATGCCTTTGGGTCCAGGCAAGGTGCAACTGAGTGCCTTTCACCAATTGGTGCTGTCACCCCCGCACCACCCCAACCCCCACATACAGCACCCCACACACCTCACATCCCACACCACACGCCCCGCTCCGCACGCACCGCGGCCGGTGCGTGTGTGCTGTGCGTTGTGCCTGTGTGGCGTGTGTGTGTGTGTGTGTGTGTGTGGTGTGTGTGTGTGTGTGTGTGTGGTTGTGTGTGTGTGTGGTGTGTGTGTGTGTGTGTGTGTGTGTGTGTGTGTGTGTGTGTGTGTGTGTGTGTGTGTGTGTGTTGTGTGTGTGTGTGTGTGTGTGTGTGTGTGTGTGTGTGTTTGTGTGTGTGTGTGTGTGTGTGTGTGTGTGTGTGTGTGTGTGTGTGTGTGCGTGTGTGGTGTGTGTCTGTGTGTAAGTGTGTGTGTGTGTGTGTGCTGTGTGTGCTGTGTGTCCGTCCATCACCATGCAGTGGCATTGTGAGGATGCACAATGTGAAAACTGAACTCTCGCAGCATGATGCTCAAGCATCAGTCAATCTGTTGCGCTTGAGTGATTGCCATGGTGTCGTGGGGGGAATTCATCAAATCTGTGGAGGTCGTAGAGTTAGCAGAGGATGTGGTGACTGCTATTTTCACCAACGAGTTGTTGGCTGCAGTACCATCGTTGGCAGAGGGGCCCCCAAACAAGAGACGCAGCTGTGTAGACGAAGATCACTGCGAAGACAACGGTGAAGTCTGGAACCAAGCAAGAAGGACGAACAAGACCGGGAAGCCCGATTCCCGGAGAGCCACAAAGCAAGACATTGCAGAGGACGAAGAAGACCAAGGAGTCGAAAACGGAGAGGACATACTCATAGTAAGAAGGCTGATGCGACAAGAAGAACGCCAGGATGAGTGAGACAAAACAGACGAAGCAAACAATGACTAGCGAGCAGAAAGGGGCCTACAGAAGCAGCACAAACAAGCGGTGAATGGACGGAGAGTTGCTCGACGAAGACAGTCAGTAGGCCAGGTAGCCATCCCGTAACGGGGCCAGGAGCAGGAAGACAGACGAGGCAAAGGAAGAACGAAAAAGACAAACGCAACAATCCAAGTCAAAACACTAAGGAAACCTAGGATCAACTCAATTCGGGTAACTCACAAGCGACGTTTCTAGCAGACTTCTCGCGCTCAGGTAACGGCAAAGCCGTCCTGGGGTCACTCAGTGGGTGGTACACACTGAGATTCCGAAGAGGGAACACCAGCCAAAGTCGAGCAAAGCATTGAGTAGGTCAGCAAGCGGAATCCATGTGAATTCGAGGCTTTTAGGTTCGAAACCGTTTCCAACTCCAACAAAAAGCATGCGCCCTGGGAGAAACGAAGCGGGCCAAAAGGACTTTACAGCACTGAATTCATGCGCAGGCACGTCCAGCTTATCAGGCTGAATATCAAGAGTTAACAGCGGGCGCCTTTGTTGGCGCATGACTTGCTGAACTTCCTGCACCGCCTGCTGCTATGGTTTGCTTCCAGGGTGAAGCTGAACTCGGCGCGCGCGCACCGGTTTTTTAGAGCACCATGGCCCAAACAGGCTTTGCGACCTTGTCAGCCAGCAGCTTGCCGGGCTCAAGGCCGCACTGTTGTCTCATTGTCTTGAAAATGCTGCCAACTCCGTTTTGCAGGATGATTCTGCGTCGCCTTGAACCCGACCGGAGCAAAATGTGGCGGTGCTCAAATTGTACATACGGTGCCATGCTAGATGGTAGACTGCTTTTGAGGAGGCTTGAGTGCTTTGAGGAAAGAGCTAGACTTTGAGAAGCATCGGGCTGATGTAAGTAGACACAGCTTCTTAAATCTTTGGTGGGTTTGGCTCAAGGCATCTCTAAACGATGGGGCTGTGGCGAGCTTGATGCCGTTGGGCGAAGGCGGCGCCGTACTTCGCTGTTGCAGCTTGTGCAATTCTTTGTGAGGCATGGCCAGGACAGCGATTTGCCGACCGGTGCATGGCAAGCGCCTCAACTGTTGCTTTGAAAGCGCCGCATTTGACGCTGACATCTCTGGCAAGTGCTGACATGTGTCGGTGTCGCGCTGTTTGCAGGTGGCTACCCACAACCCACGTGCCTGCCTGAGCCATGCTGTTGCCAGAATTGTAACGATACAATCTTCTTGAGATATTTGTCCTTTGGTGGGATTGTTTGCCTACTTCTGCGACATTGGGATGTTGTTTCATGGGAAACACGGAGACACGCAGGCGTTGGTCGAGCTGGCCATGGGCCACCGATATGCCCAGCATAGACACTTGTTTCGGAGGCCAGCCTGCGGCCCACAAGCTTAAATAAATTCCTTGTTTTTCTATGTTTATTGTTCTATTTCAGGGCGATCGCCCAGCGCCGCCTCCTAGCGCCGAATTTCCTCGTGTTAGTCTTTGGCAGGCCAAGGTGGCACGGTTTCATTTGCGGAAGTGACTGCTCTTGACCGAAATGGGATGACCATTGGTGGCATCTTGGCTCACGAAACAAAGCGCTCTTTCTTTTGAGTTCTAGCTTCGCCTGCCACGCTTAGACATGCCGTTCGCAGAGCTGCGACATGTGCGTGGTGATCTTGCGATACTGACACTCAGGCTTAACTCGCAAACCTGTTATTTAGCGTCCTCCCCCCTGTTGCCCATGATAGTCTTTGGCAGGCCCGGACATGCTTGCAGTCACCATTGGCAATCAGTTTGGCTCAGCAGCCAAAGCGACAGTTCTTTTTCAGTGCCTCGCCCAACGCTTGGGCAAGTCGTGGGGGCGTGCGCTGGCTTGGTGCCAGTTTCAGGGGTGTGTGGCAGCTGGGCAGACTTCTCACTGTGCTTCCTTTCATGCCCGGTGGTTGGTGGTTGGCTGGGAGCCTGTTGGGAACGCCTGGGACCTGTCTGGACAACAGGCTTCCAAGGATCGACCAATGCCGCCCCCACAGCAAGCGAGGAACAAAAAGCGAGGCAAATTAAACATTTTCATCAAGGGGGCCTCCATTCCACTGTTTGGTCTAGGTTGCTCCAAGCAAACACTGCCCGATTTCTGCATTTGCTTCCGCAGCTACCAACAATAATCATTTTGACCTAACGGACGGGCCCGGTCTTAGCTTAAACCGTGGTGACACTGGCGGCGTTGACCACAAACCCGTCCCAAGGTTGAATTGGCTCTTAGACGATGCAAGCAAAAGCGCATGCAGAATGTGGTCGACACCAGCAGCGACTCCATAGTTTCATGTGTATCACATGCGCATAGGCGTGGAAGAGTCTGGGCTATCCGTGTTCTACGCTCCATGGCTTCCCTTTTTTGAGAAGAAAGTGTTGGCGGATATTTGTTGGCCACAGCACTGTGCATGACTTGCTTCGTGTTTAATCTTGCACACGCGTCGTAAGTTGTCAAAATGCTAGGAGTTCGTGGGACATGCAATGCTCAGAAGACATTTGAGTGATGCTTTCGACAATTTGTCGGGCAACACAGCTGCGTTTCGATAGCTCTTTATTCTCGACCAGCGTCGCAGAAGAATGGGGGCAAGCAGTTCTTTTTAACGCAAACTCCTAGCAGCCAGAAACTACCAACCAGCGAGAACAGTTTGACAATGCTCACCCCTGGAACATGCGGCGTTGTTCCAGCTGGAAGAACGATCTTCTGACGCAGTTTAGCCATACTGATAGTTTTTGTTGGTTCATGGGGTGTCCGGAGCAGTTTGGTACGGCATATGAGATATTTCATTGACATGGCATGCTGCAACGCTTTGCAACAAGTGGCTGGGGGTCGTCCTGGTTTGCGCAGCATGCGTAGGGCATCGCTCATGGTGTGTGCGTCGGTGCCAGGAGACACCTGTGAGCATGACAGAATGCAGGCTCGAAACCCAGGTCATTGTTTTGTTGCCGTGTGATATTTGGCGCAGCGCGATGTGGCAGGACATGTTCGCCGCGAAGCGGATTTGGAAGAGAACTCAGTATGCAAATCAGAGTCTTGGCTGCATGTTGTGCACTGAGGACCGGAAACGATGCAACCTGGCATTGAAGTGGGAGTTTGGTGACCAATGTAATTCGGGGCACACTTTGGACGTTAAGGTCCCTCCGGCAAAGAAGCAGTGCATTGCCAACATTGCCAAGGCTGGTTGAAAGGATTTGAAAGGTGTGTGTTGCCGTGCTTTGAGAAATGCAATGAGGTTGTGTTGCCGTCGAGAAAGAGACCTTGGGAGCCGTGTCTATAAGGAGCTGCGTCACCGCTGTGATGCAGCGGGCGTCACAAGGGCTGTTCCGCGCAGCTTCTGATCTCGGCAAAATATGTCTTGCGCAGCATGGCAGGCTTGGAACTTGCCACGACTATCTGGCATGTTGCACTACTGACACTGTTGACCTTGTTCGCTTTGTGCGTTGGTCTCATGCAATTGCATGCAAAGCAACCACCAGCAGCAGTATACTACACTGGATGGATTGATCACACCCTTCACCTGCACTTGCTTGAGCTGGCAGTGCTCGCAGCTGGTTGTGGGTATCTTTGGTTGTGTAGCATTTTGCTTGTTGATCGCTGATGCCTTGTGGTTGGTTGGCTTCCCGCGACAGTGCTGGCAGTGCTTCTGTTGGCGTGACGAAGACTGTTCTCTCAGCTAACCGTGCTGGCCCAAGCGGCCCAAGCTCGATCTATGTTGCCTCACGATTGTCAAGCTTCTTTTCCACGTTTTCCACAAACTGCTTGCGCAACGACGGTTGGTATTGGGGCAGCGGCAAGAGACTGTGAAGCTTGCAGTTTGACTGGAATTTGATTCTCGTGGCCCAAGCAGTGGCTCGGCCCGCACAGACAGCCCAACATGCAGATGCTTGGATGCACCGATACGCCTGGACTTTCTTGGCCCCAATCGATTGCAAGTGGGATGAGGAAGCAATATGTAAACAAAGGAGGGCCATTTTTTTTTAAGGATTTTGTGTTTTTCAGGGTGGGTGGCTTTTCGGCTATTTGGCTTTTGTGGCTTTTGTGGCTTTTACGTGGGTTTATCTGGCTTTCGGCCATTTCGCAGCCTCTGCATTCACAGTTCCTCTCTAGAAGGTGGCTTTTTGGCTTTGGCTTGCTGCATCCTCAGCATCACCAGTTCCTCTCTGGTGCACCCCGCCGCCACCCCCCTGTTAAAATGCGCCCCTAGTCGAATCGGTACTTTTTTTGGATCATCATGCGGGGCCGCCCCGGCAGCCCACCCCCAACCCCCCGCTACTTTTTGTTTTTTTGCCCCCAGCCCCGGCACCCCCCCCAACCCCCCCCCCTCAACCCGGGGTACCGCATGCCAAAATCCGGTGGTAGTAGAGAATATATGTGGTCGGTCCCTGGAGCTAGTCTGCAAGAGAGTCCAATATGCCAAAAGCGGAGGAACTGAGAATGGATGTCCCTGGTCCTGTGATCGTGGTTTATTCCTGTAAGGCGCTCTGCTGCTCTCCTTTTGCAATGGCTGCAGAATGAATGCTGCGTGCCTATGATACAAGAGGGGCCTTGAGCCAAAATGACAATGGTTGTCTTCAGGGTCAACATGCGAAGCAAAAGCAACGCAAAACAGACACAATTTCTTTTGACCCTGAACACCAAAATTGTATTCTTGGCTTCATGGCCTTTAGGCGTAGCCATGGATATCGTAGCCATATTTAAATTTGAATCATCCTGTTTCTGGCGCGGATGAATTGAAACTATTGATCGCTCGCTGGCATATTCTCGATGTGCAGGAGGATCAATTGGAATTCGTAGTGTCGGTTCCGTCTGAATGCTCTCAGCGTGGATTGTAGTAATAGTACCATCGTTTCTGCGAGTACCAACGATAGCTGCTGTCGGATTGGCTTCCATCCTTGCTTGTAGGATTGGCCCCACGACTTCCATGCGGTCTCCTTCTCCTTCTTCTTGTTCTGGATGAACTCCTTCTTGCGGTGGAGATTTCTTTCCTGATCAGCTGCGAGGCTGCGGAGATAGACCAGCAATGGGGTGTGAGAATCTGAGTCGCATTGTCCAAGCATTAGCGTCTCATTGTTGATGTGCTTGTAGCGCTCTGCGGATGTGACCTTGTAGTCGGAGATGACCTTGTCAACATCTTCTATCATGGAACCCATCTCTTGGTCGAGCTTGGCAATCTCGGATTGACGGAATTCTCGTTGGATGTGGGTCTCTCCCCAAACTGAACACGAAGGTCGTCACGCAATCTGGAAACGTCCGGTCATAGCCTGAACCTGTCTTCATATGGCGAGCAATGGATTTGATTGTGCATGATGTAGACATGGAAAAATCCATTCGTTCCGCCAACTCCAAAGTTTCTTGAACTTCTCCACGATGTAGTTCATGAGGCCGTTTTCAGGATTGTAGACGGATTGCAGCTTGCTGAACGTGTTCGCGGATTTGTTGGCATCGTCGCATTGCGCTGGTATACCTTTCTGCGTGTCCTCTTTTGCTGCGCCGTGGCTGATGTTCGGATATGGAAGATCAGCTCGGGTAACATGCCGTGTGTCGTAGGATAGAACAGAATCCTTGGTGGATTTCGGAAGTGCTCCACGGATCTCATTGTTCTGCTTGATGTGGATGACGACAATCTCACAGTTCTTGCCATGCCATTGAACGGCTGTGCGCGGTGGCAATCTCTGTCCAACGTACTTCTCCTTGTTGACGAACATGGATGTTCCGGCGGATGCCAGGCAGTCGGATGTGGGAGTGTCGTAGTCCGGATCAGTGCCCCCTCGAGTCCGAAGAAGCATCTGAACATGCCGAATGTAGCACTCCAACATTGGCTCTTGGTTGTAATGTAACGTGCCAATAGTTCGACTCTGGCGTGCTTACCATCTCGGACAAAGCGTGCGATGGACTTGACCATAGCTTGAGAACGATGCCCTTGTATCCGCATTTATTGAACAGTTTGATGAGGTCGATGGTCTTGTCCTCTTCCGGGTAGCAGAACGAATCTGCCTCGTTGATGCAAAGGATGTTTGCACTGTTCTGCACCATCTGCATGATGAGCGGTCGGTGCTTGATTGGCCATTGCTTGAGTTCATGATTATCCAGCTTCGGATTCCTGGTGAGGTTCCTGTGATTCACTGTCAATGAAATGGTGGATGGATAATCTCTTCTCTTGAGGTAGTCGACAACGTGGCCATCAGTTCCTTGCATCAAAGATCCCAGAATGTTCGTGAATAACTTGATGAGCTCAGGATCGTGGTGGTTCTTCAACTGCTGGAGTCCGATTGGAAGTCTCAGTGGAAACTCTTCCATGGTCGGATGTGCAATTGCGTGCTCGAAGTAGAACTCATCGTCCTCGATGTTCTCATCTGGCCAAAGGTCTCAATTCGCAATCAGTCAGGTCTTTGTGTACATTTAGTTGGATCTGTGTGGTACCTCTCCATGAACTCCGTGAATTCGAAGTGAACCATCTCATGATTGCTGAATTTCGATCAGCTCCTTCCGGGCATCGGCCTTGGTAATCATCGCCCGGTCCAAACAGATTTCCTGAAATTCCCGATTGAAAGTCAAATTGGCCGGATTAGGAGGCTCCACAATGACCTTGACCTTGACCTTGACGGATCGGTCTGCTTTTGTGCTCATGCTTTCTTCATCATGATCTGTCGAGTGTCGTCTCTTCTTGGTCTCACTGGATTGTTCTTGTTCCGGTTGATACTTGTTGTGCTTGTGGTGGGAGATGCCTTTGTCAATGTGCTTGAAGAAATGCTCTGCAAACTCCTGGATCTTGGATTCGCATTGCTCTCGGTCATCATGGTCGAGGTTCTTGTTCATGATCCAGTAGCTGCTCAGCAGGGGCTGTCCATCGGTATCGAATGCTGCGATGATGCTGCATGGATCGATGGTATGTTCTGACAAGGCGGTTCGTTCTTCAGTGATTCGGATGTTGTGATTCGGATGTTGTACTGATTGTCTGGTGTAAAAGCAAGGATCAACAAAGCGTCGCGTCCCTTGGCCGGATTCACCGTGCTCTCATCTTCATGGTCTTCAATGCTTGGATGCATTGGGCAAGTCGTAGGATGGCTCTTCCCAAGTGTCCTGATACTTCCACAAGGCTCTTCCACTGGCTTCCAACTCAACATATCGTGAATGACCACTGTTGCATCTCACATAGAGCTCCATGTCATTGTTGTTGAAGCCTGAGCGCATGGAATGCGGCTTGGGATGTGATGCTGTGAATCCATCGGTTTCGCGGGACAATCTCCTTCCTTGCTTCTCGTTCCTTGTATGTTCCATCAAACTTCGGATATACGAACGCTATCTCGAATCTGGATTTTCCAAAGCGTGGAAGCATAGTCATCAGGAATACGCCTGGTATGTTACGAAGGAAGTTTCTCGCATGGGTAATCGTGCGCAATGCCTCATAGAGTTCGCATGATCCATCAATGTTGATCTGGACTGGCCTTCTCAGTTCTCGTCCTTCTCGGGGATTGTGTCGAAGGCATTCGGAAAACAACCTGCTCATTCTCTCCACTCTCCAAAGGATGAAATGGACGTTGGGCTTCGCATAGGATGGTTCCATTCCGTACCTTCCAGATGCTGCCCCCGCTAATTTTTTCACATTGTTTGCACCACATGCAATCATCACTCCACCGGTCATCATGGGGGAGGCTGCCAGTGGCACCAGGCAGGGGTCGCTCCATTCATGTTAATTCGACGGCGCATAGACATCAGTATTTTGGAGACAAACCCAGAAAGATGCTTAGCCAAGGGTCAAGCTCAAAAAAACAACAACAACCTGCTGGTGATGCTAAGGATGTTGGTGTGACAAGTGAAGGGTGCAAAAAATATTGCTGAGGATGTTGACGGGCTAGTGAACGACCTGCTGGTAATGCTGAGGATGCTGGTGTGACAAGCTGGCGATGTGGAAAACGATGCTGGGGATGTTGACGAGATCCCGGAAAATACGTTGTTTTCGGCTGCAAAAGCTCAAACTACGCATTTTTTACAGGCCAAGACGAAAAAATAAATAAATCCAAAAACAAAACAAACAAATCTTAAATTAGATCTCGACCCGTAAACAAATTTGCATCATGACGTCATTAAGTAAAGCACACATTCGCAGAATACCGGCTCCGCCGACATTGTCCTCTCCCTTTTCTCCCTCCCGTGTGTTCTGTCCTCCTCTCTCCCTCCCTCCGCTCCCCATCCTCCCCATCCCCCCAAGTCTCTCTCTCCTCAATCTCCCTCTCTCTGTATCTCTCTATCTATCTATCTATCTATCTATCTATCTATCTATCTGTCTATCTATCTATCTATCTATCTATCTCTCTCTGCATTGCAGCGTCACGCCCCCCCTGAGTTGCCTCGATGTCCGGGCCCTCTGCATGACCCTGAACTGTCTGCTTACTACTGGCTTCCCCCTTGATTTCCCCTTCATGTCCTTTTCACGGTCCCATGATGTCCTGGTCATGTCCCTTCCATTCCTTTCAACTCCTTCTTCATACCCCTGTCATTTTCTGGGTATGTCCGCTTCATTTTCCATGTATGTCCCGTTCTTTCGTTGCTGCTCATTTCCCTGCGTCTCCCGTCGTGCCGATTGGTTTCCTTGTCCTGTGTTTCCCTTTCATTCTTCCTGCACTCCCCTTGTTTTCATTTCTGTCCCTTTCATGTCCTCAGTCCGATCTTCAGACATGTGTTTCTGCAAACAGGATCAGGCAGGAGGAGGCTGCAAACAACTCGCCACGCATTGTTTCAACTTTACAATTCTTAGGTCACAATTGAACAGCACATCCTGCATGAAAAGGTGAAAAACAGTGCCTCGTTCATGTGCCACAGTTTTCCGTTCGCCCAGAACATGCATTAACCTGTGAAGCTTCGCTCAAGAAGCAATACATGAACGGCTGTCATACTTGAAGAAGCTATTTGGCAATCTTTGTGTGCTATCAATCGCATGAGAGCTGCCTTGCGCTCTTGGAATTATGTGGGATCAACATGCCCATTGATTCAGAGACTGTCTGTATTTGGCAAACATGACACATGAGATGATCCACATTTATTTGCACGATCTTGCAAGGTTGGACTTGATTTGGCATCCAGTTGCTCCGCATGCAGAGCTGGTCTTCATGTTGACCCAACAGATGACTCTGCCTTGATTTGGCTGACTTGCTAGGGCGCACGTATGGAAATTCTTACTTGAGTCCAGAGATTGGGGGCACTGAAGCGCATTCTTGGGCGGTGGCCAAGGAATGTCACAGCGTTGGGGCCAGCAGCTGAGCCTTGATCAAACTGCCTAGTTTCACCGGTTTGCCATTAGCGGATCATCATCCAGACAGGACAGCCGGAGCATGTTGCATTCAGGCCGAAGAACCCATGGACGGCCAACCTGCTAAGTGCGCTCGCTGCCCAGGGGGTTACAACATGTATGTTTGCATGTGTGTAGTTCTACACTCAAACTAACATGTGAATATACAATATAAATGTGTATATGTGATTATACAAAAAGCCAAGCAAGCATGGCTTCCATCTCAGCGGGGACACGCCCGGCGCGTCCTCCTGCACGAGGACTAGCCATGTCAAGCGCGCGAATGTTTTGGTTGGTGAGCAAGCAAACTCGCTTAAAGCTCCGAAAGAGAAATCGTTCAGATGCGCACTTGTGCAGAAAAGGTGGCCTTTGGATTGAATGTGCAGTTGCTCTGTTCAATCCCGAGAAGTTTTCAGGTGGCTTCGAGACGACAGCTGACTTGCTCTTGCTGAGGTGACGTCAAACGATCAGCTTTGTGTGCGACACCCCCATTGCCCATGGACCCCCAGCAGGTCCCAGCGAAATACGCCAATTGACGGACAGGCGTTCGGAATCGAGGGGATCCCCGCCTCCCCCTCTGGTTGTGCGAGGGGTGGTTTAAGTTGGTTGCAGGTTAAGGGTTTGTTGGAGGGTTGGGTGGGCCTGAGTTTAGGCTGGGTTGTGAGTGAGCTGTAGAGCGTAGACTCGGGTTAGGGGTGAGGGGAACTCAGATGAGGTGAGTGAGGTGAGATGACGCGATGCGACGCGTAAATGCACTGAAGTGAGGCAAGTGCGTCCTCATGAGTGACCGAGCGAGCGAGGGAGGGAGGGAGAGGGAGGGAGCGAGTAAGTTTGTTTGTGCGTGGGTTTGTGAGAGGGAGGGAATGGGAGTGATGTGGTTGTGAGTGTGGGGGTGATTGGGGATGATAGTCAGAGTGACTTTCCACTGAGAGTGAGAGTGAGAAAGAAATTGAGAGTGAGAGCGAGACTTAAATTTGAGTGCGCGAGAGGAAGAGTGAGAGTGAATGTGTGAGATTGAGAGTATGAGAGCGAGGGAGAGTGAGAGTGAGAGCGAGAGTGAGAGTGAGAGGGTGAGAGCGGGCGAGAGCGCCTGCTTTTGCGCAATACTAATGCTTTCGTTGTTACATTCTTTTTGAACTTTCACTTCACGTCGAACAAAACAATGAGGCGCGCAGGCAAATTGCTTTTTTTCTTTTTCTGGAAAGCTTTCTACATTGGCATTGGCTTACAAGCAAGATTGTTTCTGGATACCACTCGCAGAGCGCAGTAAAGCTGACAGACGGAATGCCAAGTTCACGCCATGCGGCAAGACAGTCAAAACATGAGCTTGGCAAATTCTGCTTGGTCGTGCTCGTTCTTGCGGGGTGAACACGCGACACTATCGACACCGGTATTGCCAGGTTGTCATAGAAAACACAACCTGAGCTGCTTGAAAGTGGCGCCGACCCAAGTAGCGACTAACCAGTTAGACTCTTGACTCTTGACCATTTTGTTCTTCGTTCGATTTTCTGCCGATGCGATAAAAGTATAAAAGCCTTTACGATGCGTTCGCGACCACTGTCACCCCCTCATGAGTCTTGCAAGCAGACTGCTGGCTGCTGGAAATTGCAGGCGTTGACTGGGCGGCAATCCAGCCGGTCTAATTTGTCAGACTGCAGTCCTTGACGCAGTTCATGTCGAAATGCTGCTTGCCTTTCAACTTGTTTGCCGAAGGAGATTCGGGAGACTCTAGCATCAAACAATTGTGGAAGGAGCAGAGAGTATCCATATGCAGCGTGCCCTATATTTTCTTACAAATCGCAGCGTCGCACCGATCATTTCCAACTTTTATACAGGCGTGTGAAGACAAATGAGACCTTTTTATGCTTGGATCCGAGGGCAAAAGTCTAGGGAATATTTCGCCAAAGCATTGAAAGGCTGGGCGTTATGCACTTCACCAACGACGAAATCAAGGAGGACCTGTGCAAGCGCTTCGACAGTTGGTTGACATGAATGAGATGGTGATCGCAGTAGCCATAACTTTCAGTTGTTTGTTTGCGCATTCAGAGAACCTAGTGCAGTATGCGATGCGGTGCCATGCTGCTTCTTATTCTCGCAGACGTTCGACACAATGGTGGGCGAGGCCTGATTGCATGACCCCTGCACCTGCGCTGATCTCCATGTTGCTTGAATCCTAACCAATTTATGGGGTCTAGATTCATGGGGTCTAGATTTGGGGGTTTTTGGCTATCTCGAATTATCTCGAATTATCTCGAATTATCTCGAAGATGTAGGTCAGGTTGAAAGCAACTTGCATGTTTGGGATTTGTTTCTGCATTTTTTGTCATTTGTATGATGTGTGTCTTCATGAATGCCGTGCAATTTTGTTGTTTTGCATTTGCATTTTATAAATATATTTGTTCAAATGCTGACGCATGATGGTCGGTCATTGTGTTTTTACTGATCTTAGACTTGATTGCATCGGCTCGTAGCAATCGGGGGGCGGTGATGATGTCAAACAGTGTGTTTGTCGCGTTGCCTTCAGCTTCACCAATTTCAATCAACGACGTCCCGAATATATCATCAACCGAAATCCCTTCTGATCCAACGCATGGTGGAAGATGCGTATTACAGAAGTGACTGGACAGACATGGACCTGCATTTGGAAAAGGAGTGGGCAAGATTTGCAGAGGACGGGCTGGGCTATGACCAGGTGACCAGGTGGCCACTGGATGCAAGTGTGATTTACGAAAGCGAGAGTGACAGTGAGCACCATGATCACTCTTGTCCAAATTTGAACGCTCTCAAAATCATGATTGGAAGCTTGGCTGTCGGGCTGCGGGTCCATGAGTTGGGTGCAATAAGTCAGGTCGGGAAACCTGTGCAGCCGGATTTGGTCGTTGCTTTGAATGCAGCTGACTGGATGTACGAGCATGGCATGGAACGTGTGCAAAAACACAGCAGCAGTAGATCGCCTAGCCTATGGCCTGTGGGATAAAACCCATCTACAGGGTGAGGAGTGGAACCTCTTCAAGAACGACTTCAAACGGACTTGGCAGCACATGTGTAATGACATCAAAACTACACGGGCTTGGACTGAAGGGCGTTGTCGCAGCATCTTGTTTCATTGCCATGGTGGAGCGCATCGGAGCACATCTGCAGCTGTGGCGTTCCTATTGATGCACCATCGATGTAGCCTTGAAACTGCAGTCCAATGCATTTTGAGAAAGAGAAAGTCGCTGCGAATGTGGTGCAACAGGGAGTACATCATTGAAGCTCTTGTGGCACTGGAACATTCGATCTTGTCAGAGACCTCTGAGACTCTGAGCCACCAGGTGTACCAGGTGTGAGTTTTGAGCTCCAACTTAGTTTCACCTGTGTGTGACAGGCTTGCTGCGAAATGAGAAACAAATCACATGTGTGTGTGTGTCACAAACCACGATCGTCCGTTCACACTTTTCATTTTTTGCATTGCAAAAAGTAATAAAGCTGATAATAATACAACTTATTATTGTCCCACTCCCTTCACTCAGAAAGTTGACTGACCAACAGAATGACTGAGAGGCCTGGCTGGCGCGTTGATGCGACTTTGACTTTGATGGACCTGTTACTGAGCTACTGACTCCACTGACGTGCTTACTTTGCAATGTAATTGTGCTACGGAAATTGTGTGTGACATTGTCGAGTCAACAAATGCATTGCTGCAATTCAATAGTTGGATCTGAGGGTGACTGAACCCTGCCCATAGTAGTGTTGAGGCCGCCTCGCTTCCAAGATGAAGCGCCCTGCTGCCAAAGCGATAATGAAGCGCCCTGCTGCGAAAGCGATTATGAAGAGTCCTGCTGCTGCAAGCATCGAGAAACGTCCGGCCATGCAGGTGGATGATGACGAAGCTGAGGACCTGGAATCTCTTCGTCTGATGATTTATTGCCAGACTCAGAATGAGAACGACTTCCGCTTCAACAAATGGCATTCGTTGGCGCCAAAGGTTAAACGGTTTTTGATCCTGGCAATCTTCAAAGTATTTGGCGCTGATGATAAGGATATTGAGGAAATGACGCATTTCAGCATGAGCCTGAAGGACTTGCAGATTCAGTGGAAGTACATTACGGACGAGTTGAAACGCAATTTCAGTGATAGTCGGATCCGCGGATATATCTCGGCGGTGGTTAGGTACCTTACGACTCCAGGTTCTTCAACTCATGAATGGCTTTGCTTGGCTATCAAGGTTGCCTGCTGTCAGGGGAGTCAAGGATCGTCTGATTGATTCAGAAGCCAAAGCAAGTTCAAGCTCTGAAACATCATTTGAGATATGACAATCTAACCCAGCAAGCCAAACAGTGTGTTCCTTGATTCCATGGCAGCACTGGTGGGATGTGGAGCCGGCGTGTTTGAAAGTGAGTGTCCATGACATCGAGTCAGTTGTTACTGTTACTGACATTGACTCAAGGAAAACAGCGTGTTGTGTCTGCGCTTTTTGCATTGTTGCCATGTCGCGCCGCACTATTCTTAACCCTACTGCTACCCCGCTCAAGAAGCAGAAAGATGAGAGCGGCGGCGCCAGCCGCAGTAGCAAGATCTACAGTCACTGCGGGGCAGGCCCAACAGTTTTCTACATCCCAGTCGTTGAAGAGGCCTGGCTCACAATTGGGTGGGACTGACTATGTTACATGTGTTGGCCAAGTTGCTAGCTGACAGTTAAGGTGTTGAAGAAGACGGTTTTCACATTGGTGCTTTGTTGCTGGCCCAGTGCGCACTGTGCATTGTCTTGTGCAGGTGCGTTTTCTGTGGGAGACAAAAGATGTGAGCCCACTTTACCAGCCGGGCGCGCGCTACCACTTCTCGCTGCGCTCGGACCTGAAGGTGGCAGTGGAGAGGGGCACGTGGTACCGGATGACCAACTATCCTGAGGCCCAGTGCCTTAGCCTAACTGCTAATTCATTGAAGAGTTCCTAATCCGGCCGTGCTGGTGCTGCTGCTGCTGCTGCTGCTGCTGTTGCTGCTGCTGTTGATGATGTTATTGTTGTTATTGCTGTAGTTATTGGTGTTATTGTTGGCATTGCTGTAATTGTTGTTATTATGTTGTTATTGTTGGTTATTTGTGCTGTTGTTTGTGGGTATTGGTCTTGCTGCTGCTGCTGCTGCTGTTTTTGTTATAATTTATGCTTCTTTGTCTTCTTCTTTCTTTTATTGTGCTTCTTCTTCTTCTTCTTCTTCTTGTTGCTGTTGGTGGTGGTGATGGTGCACAGCTGCGAAAGTTGGTGGTGGTGATGGTGCACAGCTGCGAAATTACTAAAGACTGCTTGCTGGAATTGGCAAACAGGTCAACTAAAAGATGGTGATGTAATCTTGCGCAGACACAGTCAGTTGTCAGCTGAGTCCGGAGATCATCTACATCAAGATGTCCGTGCCGAAGCTGGGAATGACAACACTTCAACAGGACAAGATGCTAACCTGCCAGGGACAAGGCTGGTGGAGGTTTCACATGCCCATCAGCCAGATGATGTTTCTCAAAGCTTCTCTACAAGTGTCTACTATGCGAGACGACTATGGCGGAGGACGAATGAGTGAGCCTCTGGAAAGCGCAAACACTTCACTGTGTTGTGATTCAGTCACTGGGGGCAGATGATGACTGGCAATGATTCAGAACATTAAATTAACGTCCAAGCGCCCAGTCAGTCACGATCAACATCTGTGCCAACCAGACTGCGAATTGAATGACACTCACTGTCACTGTCTGTCACAGAGCGATTTGATGCGGAAGCGAAAAGATAAAGACTAACCTGCTGCCATTGATGCCATTGAACTTACAGAAGCACACGTGAGAACCATGTCATGTAACTAGGTTTTTAAAGTCTGCAAGGAGCCCTCACTCACAGTCACGGTCAATGCTGTGTCGTGAACTAGTTGTGATTTCTGACGACCAGGTCCGCCAGATGCAGATGCTCATTTACGGTGTGCTGCATTAAAAGCCTTGAGTCGGGACTCAGTGCCATTAGCTTTCAGCCTTCTTCAATCTTTGTGAATTGCCATGCCTGCAGCTCACTGTGTCATGTCTTTGCAGCCATGTCTCATTCAGGAACTCAAGCACTCCGGAGCCTAGCAGCCCAGCCACAGGGCTTTCCGCTCTGCCGGAATGGTGGCCCTTACTCTGCCTGGGCAACAAGGCCAGACAGTGTGTTATTCTTTGCGGTGCAGATATCTGGGGGCCGGCTGTCACCGAGATGCTTACATGGTGAGTGATCTGAGGCACCCAGAAGATGAATTCAATAGGTTGGTGATGAAGGTGTCCAACAGCAATGATCGGTCGATGCAAGAAGACATCTGCTGCATAAATGCGGTGAGGGATCAGGCTCCGACTCTGGCGAACTTCTTTCCTGAAATGCTAGCCTATCTCCCACACATGACGTGCAGGGGGATATGGAAAGAATCGAGCCATTGCCTGCTTCTGCAAACTGCAATGGGTGATGGACAGAGTGTGGCAAGACGAGCGGCGGAGCTGTCGCAGCAAGAGCTCTATGTGCAAGCAGCTCTTGTCATGATGCAGGGGGGCCTGTTTTTGTTGAATGTGCAGGAGGCGCCTTTGAAAAGGCAAATGGCCAATTGATCTCGGACCTGCACCCTGCTTGAGCCCTTCAATAAGCCAAGCAGTGTGTTGGGAATGGCACCTCCAGCACCTGTGCGCGCTGATCCATGGGCATTATCATCGCCAGGTGTGAGCCTTCCGGCTGCTGATCCATGGGCATTGTCGTCGCAAAAAGTGCCAGAGCCCGTGCGCCCACCAAGCTGGCTACGGTATGCGCGGGAGCCTGTCGTCAATGTCACTGCCGATGATTCAGTGTCGCAGCAAGGCATGCCCCAGGTGGGGCCGACTGACTCTGTGTCGCAGCAAGGCATGCCTAATGTGGGGCCGAATGACTCAGTGTCACAGCAGTGCCTGGCTGAGAGGGACTTGACAAGTTGGCAAAACTTGCCACAGCCTGTGCAGCAGCCGGTGGCAAAGGAGCCGCCTGCCCTGCGCACGCTGCAAGTGACAGGCTCAGCCGCCGTGCAGCAGTGGAAGAGACAGCGGGCTGAGGAATTGGCACAGGACCCAGTGTCCATGCCGGACCGGGCAGACGCAGTCGGAATGAATGATGAGAT